GTGTGAGGTGTGTGTGTGTGAGGTGTGTGTGAGGTGTGTGTGAGGTGTGTGTGATGTGTGTGTGTGAGGTGTGTGTGAGGTGTGTGTGAGGTGTGTGTGAGGTGTGTGTGAGGTGTGTGTGAGGTGTGTGTGAGGTGTGTGTGAGGTGTGTGTGTGAGGTGTGTGTGAGGTGTGAGGTGCGTTGCGTGTGCGCGTGTGCGTGTGTGTGTGTGTGTGTACAAACCCGCTGGATCAAGGCCAACATTCATTATATTTCCCCCTTACATTCTACACAAGCTTCTTGACCTGACTGTAAACCCACTACAACGTTGGACCAACGGAAATTACCTTCGAAATCTCGGAACCCCCGAGATGAGGTGAAATAAGGGAAAAGAACGTGCCTGTTTATGCGAAAGGGGGGGGGGGGTTCTTGGGCCTAAACACTGATGATTCAGCAGCCTTGGGAGAGATCTGGGTAATTGTATTTTAGTTCACCCATCTCGGGTAATCAGAGAGTTTCAGGGGAAAATCCACTTTTAAAGGGGTGCATCAGTGTGACCGACTAATTCGAATCCCAACCTCTGGAATGGGAAATCCCCAGTAATGGTGACAAAAACTTGACCAATTCGCTTTTCTAAAAATGAATTATCATTGACACTCACCTTCACCTGCAGCCATGACCTTGAAACTCCGTTGGTTTTAACTCTGTAGTAATGAATTAACAGACACAAATACTTTTACACGAATAAAGAAATATATAAATATAGTTTAACAAAAAATATGTTAAAGTAGTTGGGTACCCTGATAACATCAGATGGAAGATGTATTAAAGAAGTTGTAGAATATAGAATAGCTCTATTAAAGGCAGCATTTTACAAAAAAAAAATGAATATTTTATGCAGTCTTTCTTTGTCAGTTGAAATGAAAAAGATAATTCTTGAAAGCTATATAAATCCTATCTTGATGTACGAAAGCGACTCATGGGCAGTTGGGAGATTCGAAAAAAAATATTAAAAGCTGCGGATATGTAGTTTTATAGACGAGTGATAAAAATACCCTGTGCAGATAAAAAGAGTAATGAGGATGTCTTGAAAGAAACTGACTCACGAAGAGAAATGACTGCCCAAACCACAACTAGACAATCTACATTATTTGGTCATGTGATGAGAATAAGAAAACTGGAGTACATCGTGACAGCAGGAAAGTTGGAGGGGAGGAGAGGCAGAGGGAGACCTAGAGAAAAGATACTGGACAGTTTGACATCACGGAATGGAGAATCATTTGTGTTAGTGCTGATTGAAAAAGTACACGAGACAAAACTTTGTGGATAGACATGACTACCAACAACATACGGCCTAGACTTTGAGAAGAAGTTTAAAAAGAAGAAAGCAACACTTTTCCACGGCATGTAAGTGTTATCAGACTACGCGTCTTTTTTTTCGACTTTCTATCTGTGGTAAAAGACTTTCTCAGCAACACCTGTTTAAAGGGAAAAAAATGAAGCCAGACATTAAATAAATGTTATTGCAGGGCTTCGTCTACCAGAATTAAAGCTCCATCTATGCCTTTAAGAACTTTTAACCTCTAAGCAGGACCAGACATCTTATTAGCTGAAAATATTAATTGTGTTACATAGGATTTAACAAGTAAACCGCCATCTAACTGACTGACTGACTTTCTACCCCACCAGGACATCACACAAGCGATAAACACCCGATGACACAATGTGCCACCATGTGGGTGAGGATCACCGTGGAGAGGTCCCAGAAACCACGTTCAGCCTTTAGGCCGTATTTATGGCCAGGCTATATTGCGGCCCCTGGCAACAGCCAGAGTAGGGCTTTAAATAACGAAAAATGCCATCCTACATATGTTTTTGTTTATGTTTTTGTTTCTGTGTCAAGCGTGGGCAAAACAACTGCCTCATTCTGGTGGACCGCGGGTGTTAAAAAAAAAGGTTGCCGAAAACTGATTTATAGAACGTACTCCAGCAATTTGACGTTCAGTGTTTGACACTGCTCACTACATGTCTCATGTGGATTAGGGGGGGGGGGGTGGTGGGGCTGAGTTGTCCCGATGCATGGCGTCCACCTCGAATGCTGGAGGTCCCGAGTTCTGGCCCCGGTGAAAGCTGGGATTTTAAAATCGGACGCCTGTATGTATTGTTGCCCACCTTAAAAACCAAAATTCCTTGGCAGTTCGAGTAGTCTTACGGCGCCGCCTGGGCAAAATATGGAGTTAAAAAGCTACCCAAAATATTTCAGCATCCTTGCCGGTGCTATGGAGTTCGTGCACTGCGCTGAGATTCTTCTGACTCAGATTTGAGTTAGAAGTGGAACGGAGCACTTATGGGTTACTACCCTTGTGCCATGATGTTGATCCTTGTTGTATGAACTTTAACACTAAATATTTGCTATCGACACCGTTGTCGAAACCAAAGCAATGCCGTCTGCTTCGAAAAAGCCACAGCTACGATAAAAGCCGGCACCTGGAGATGACAAAGCGCGTTCGCAAGATCTAAACCACAGGCGCTGACAACTTTGGACAGACGGATCAAGAAACTTCATTCTATCGGCGCCCCTACCAAAATATCTTTAATGTTCAACTTCCATCACCGTAAAGCCTGACCCCTGTACCATACCTTCTGTTACCGTTGTTTTCTTAATAACTGTGATATAGAATCTGTCCAAAATAATTAACATCACCCAGGGATGTCGTTTGGTTGATAAAATATAGCTCTAGAACTATTCAAGGGATGTCCTTTGGTTGATAAAATATAGCTCCAGCACTATTCGCTCAATATATCTGAAAGTGTGGGAAAAATCCCATATATTCTCCATCACCTTGCTTCGTAGCCAAAGAAGAGTTCATATGTCAATGCTGCCAGTCCCAACCTTACAAACAAGTTCGTCAGTCCTCCAGCCCTGTCCCACTTTGTGGGTAGAAAATCGTCCAGACACACTGCTCACTCCCAAGTGATTCATTTTTTCCCAGATATGCATGTTCTTTCTGTTCTGCTGCACTGTTTACTTGATCATTGAGAGTCTTTATCGCGTTCGCTTTATCGTAAAGAAACACCGCCCGGTGGAACGGCAGCACATCTTTAACCTGTTGATTACCACGCACGGTCGAATATAAAGACAACATTTTCTTCTCAGTTGAATGTTGAATTAAGAATCGACATCACAGCATTCGGGACACTCCCATAAGTGCTCAGTCCCCATCTTCAACAGCAAGCAAAGAGTTATAATTCCGATAGTACCAGTGACCCTCTGATTGTACAGCTGTCTCATCCTTCCCCTGACTGTTGAGCGTCGGCCAGATCCCCTAGTACCTCCTCGCAGCGCTATTTTCACAGACCGTAATGATCTATCTGCCCCATCCATACTGTTTACTAGCTCCCAAAGAGCCCTCACAATATCTAACTTGTCAAACATCAATTCACCACCAAGTAGTGCAGAGTTAGCCAGTCTGTCTGCCTGCTCATTTCCCAAAACACCAGCATAAACCGGAAAAAATATCCAAAGGATATTTTTTTTTTTGAGGTGATCATAAAGTGGAATGAAGAGGACGGCAATAGAGAGTATTGTTCTTGGAAGAAGAGACTGGAGCTGACGAGCACGATAATGGGCACAAAATAAGATGGTGATGATCATAAACCAACCATCAGTAAACTTGAGCCAAAGAAAAACAACAACAAAAACCTAACCAACGATGGAACTCTGTGATTAAAGACAGGATAGGCTGATGCGCTGACAACATCAGTGATACAATGTTTACCTGAAAATAAGCAAGTTCTTGACTGGCATACAACTGTGCTTGCAGCACTTTGCCAAAGACACCATAGATACAGCGAATGTTTTCTTTCAGTTCTGTTCGGTGCCTATTCGTACGTCAAACTTGTTTTGTTTACCAGAATGCATCTTGCTGCTGCAAACAGGCACAGCATATCATCATCATCATCATCAAATGCTTTGCCGACTGGCGTGGACTATCATGCTTCTCCACAATCCGCAACTGTATGTGTCAATTCGTGTGTAGACACTCCTCCATGCTATGACGAAAGGCTGTCAAGAATCTTCTCTCGTTGTCTTCCTCTGTCCCTCTTTAGACAGATCTTTCAAATGGTCACAATATGTTTCAGTTTCCTTCTTCTCATAACATGACCAAAATAATGATGACTGTCTTTTTCTGATGTTTGTGATAAGTTGTCTTGAAACACTCGCCACTTTCAAAACATCTGGGTTGCACTTCTTAGCTGGCTAAGGAATTCTAAGGATTCTTCTCTAAAACCATATCTCCGGGGCCTCAAGATATAGTTCGGCTTGTTTGTTACTTGTCTGGGCTTTACAGTTGTGTGTTAAAATATGGCATGCGGGAATTCTTTTCCTAACTTCCAGTGACACGGATTTATTGCACAAAATGTTATTCATTTTATAAAATACAGTTTTGTTCTGTCCTGTTCTGATATTTATCTCTGTGATACATCTTCCATCGGATGTTATCCATATTTTTAGATACTTAAATTTTTGTACTTGTCCTAAAATAACGTCATTGACTTTCATTTTATACTCAGGCACTAATCTTTTCTTGGAAATCACCATTACTTATGTCTTCCCAGTATTCAAACTGAGGCCAATTGTATCACTTTATACCACCATCGCATCTGTCAATGCCTGTAGTTCTTTCTGACTTGTCGCTATCAAGACGGTGTCATCAGCTTTACGCGGGTAGTTATGTTTATGTATGTATGTTATGACTTCCAATCACAATTTCACGCATTTCCATGATAGATCTCATTATATATTTACTGTATACTAAAGATAAACAGCATAAACAGTTTCAAATTACCCCAAAAATAATGCAAGGAGGCGGAGAAGAAGAAAAAGAACAAGAAGAAAAAAAGAAGAAGAAGAAGAAGAAGAAGAAGAAGAAGAAGAAGAAGAAGGAGAAGAAGAAGAAGGAGGAGGAGGAGGAAGAAGGAGGAAGAAGAAGAGGAAGTAGAAGAAAATCCCACGTGTCAAGATCTGAGTGGGGTTCTTTAAAATCATCATCATTTCTCCAAAATTTGCCTCACAGTGTCTCCACATATTCCAATCCTGATAGACGTACCGACACCAAGAAATCCTAAGAGGTCCAGAAGAGGAGGTGGGTGGGTTCCTGATTGTTTCTAGGAATGGAGTTTAAAGGAACTGGAAACTTGTAATTATTACGTCAATACTTTCTATTTTTGTATGCTGAGTCGCAAATAAACATAATAATAAATTTGATATAATCTGATATGTATAAACAAACACTTTAAACGAGGACGTCTATACATGATTAGGGGGACCATTTAGCCCATTTAGAATTATTGGGGTTGGGGAAAGGTCAAGGTCTCTCTGCCCTCTGCTTCTGGAGCATAGAATCCAAGATAGTCTGTACAATTAACATTGAATGTATCCCTCCATGCCAGCATCTTATTCAGTACAGCGACGGTCTGCGTATTTTGTCGCCAGTCTTTCCAGTTGTCATCATGTTCTTCGCGGCTGTCGTCTCATTGCATAATTAACACTGTTTTGTTAAGTAATATTATGGGCGTCGACTGCTGGCGATTTCGCAGAAGACTGCTTTGCCTAGTTTCGACAATAGTAGATAGCAATGGCTAAACTATTGAACGTACAATTTCCTAGTCAAACAAAAATAGCTGGGGGAAATCCTGGGGCTGATAATGCAGTAAGAGCTTCTCCATTGACACAGTGGCTAGATAACAAGATGCATACACATGTATAATTGTAACAGACTCTGAAAGCATGCTGAGAAAGGTGAAGACAGTGATGCTTCGAGCAGAATGGCAAGCTTCACTGCATCTGCACCACTGGGTGATGAATTGATACATGACAAGGCAGATGTGGTCAAGGCCATTTGGGAACTTACTTTACTTTTACTTTTACTTTTTCCTTCCACGTATGCCGCTAAGCGTTGTGGGGAGATGCAAGTTCCTGTCGTAAGCAAGGCGGGCAGCATCTGATGTTCTGAGGCCATGCTTTTGGCAGGTTTCGGAGACCCCGTCAATCCACAGTTTCCTTGGTCTTCCTCTTGCCTTATATCCTGAGCTTCTTTGGTTGAAAATTTGTGATGTTATTTGATCATTTTTCATCCTGGTTAGATGTCCAAACCATTTCATTCTTTGATGTTCTATGTAGTCTAAACATGGTGTAGTTTTGACAGTGTTTCTAATGTCTATATTCTTTATCCTGTCTAGTCTGGTCTTATTCGCTGCTTTTCTTAGACATTTCATTTCACAGGCTTCTATTTTTCTTTCGTGGGTCTTGTTGATTGTCCATTTGGGAACAAGCAACTTAATCAGTAGAGATAGGAGATTATTATGGCCTGGAGAGAATGCGGCATCTAGATGTAACCAGAGGG